TTTGATTGGATTATAAGTTTTTGTGTTTTCATAAAGTAGGAATTCCAATATCAAAGAACTGAATAAAAAATATTTAAAAGTCAATGTAGTTTCTGAATTAATTGCCAATGACAGTCATTACTCTCTGGCAATCAAGAAGACACTGTGAGAATTAAATAAAATTTAAGACATTCATTCTAAGTTTTAAGTTATGTAAAAATTTGTTAATAAAATTAATTGATTTTGTGGTTTATGAAATAATAATTATATATGTGTGTCACAAAATTCTACTTTAATATACATTTTCTGTGATAAATGGAAATTGAAAAACACAAATGATAGTACATGATTTGACTAAATAAATAAATCTAAAATAGAAGTTTATGCATTTGTTATATTTCCCTAAAAAGTGTGATCCCCAACATGTGTAACTTTTAATTTTTTAAATTTTTAAATTTTAACATTCTACATATGAGTTTTAAAAAATTATTTAGCAAAGTGTAATACTTCTGAAATTCTATAACTGTCCAATAAAATATGTAGGGTCATTTTTTTTACTCTCATAAAATTTAAGTGACTTAACCCAAGCATGGTTTTTATAATTTTCATAAACTGCTTGCTACTATTTCAGACTGGTATGAACCTCAAACACTGACTTTCTTACTGTATCATCAGGCAAAATGTTTTATTTAGTTTTCTTCATGCAAAAACTATCTTATCCTGTACTAGAAATCTCTCAAATTATCAAGATTATCCATATAATCAACTGATAATAATTTCACTAACATCATGCATTTATCAGTGTTTCTGTTTAAAAATATTGTAAAACGTCTTCTAGAAACTTCTGATCCACTTAAGATGAACAGGATGGGCAAATATTCCCACAAGGTTCATGGGTTGTGATGTCTGTGGAAATTTAGGATGAGGAGCCAAAATGATGTAGAAGGACCATTAGAATAGATATACTATTTCACACAACTCTGGTTACACTTTTTCCTCTCTGAGCCCAGTTTTCTGGGAGAGTAGAGAACTTATCAGGGAACATCGTGAAAGCTTTCACATAAGCATCTTCACCCTGGCTTTGGCTCTGCAATGGTCTCGATGTTTCTGAAACAATGATGAAAATACCAAGCTCTTCTGAATCAGTTTACTTTTTAAAACAGTTTGTTAAAGCTACCACATTGTTAAGTACTATGAGTATGAATTTAATGGCATATATATATATATATATATATATATATATATATATATATATAGTCACCTGAAAGCATAAGATACTCACCTGATGGGCTTACGATGGAAGTAAAAAATTTGTGAAGCAGAAGTGTGTAGAGTTGGCATCCATCCTGTTGCCTAAACATGAAATAACAATAACTCCATTTTCACCCATCGACCTTGTGTATGCAAACTTTGACTTAAAAACACAGGTAACTGGCAATACAATGTGTTTCGTCATGTCAGCTCGTGTGCAAAAGCCCAGGTTATGTGAAAAGCTGGCATATTGGAAACTGACAAGTTCCTACTGACTGCTGTGAGTATAAACATGACCTTTGTTTTGGTATCTTGCTTTGATGTGTTTATGTAATTTTTTATGAGATAAGACATATGTTAAACTGACATGAATATGTAGATGGGATGATGTTTGGCTGTAATTACACATCTCATCAGATGGATGAATAAGGATTAGGGTCTAAGTAGATACTCCTCTACCTCCTGAGACTGAGTTCTCCTTGCAGAACATGAAACTGTGATGTTGAAGAATACCACCAAGACTACATCCAAGGCATGTTCCCTCGTATCTGCAGAAATCCTTGCGAGCTGAGAGATTAACAACAAAACTGTATGAAAATAACTATGAAAAGTAAAATATGTGATGAACCACTTTCCAACACTGGTATCTCAATGGATTTATTTGCATTTTACTGCATTCTGCAGTAACATATCAGCACAACATGGCCTCTGCTCAATAGTAATTGCAAACACAAATTTTAATTTGACATGACAATGATTATTATCAGTCTTAACTGCTATTTTAAATGACATGTCATTTTTTAAGAGGATACAAACTCAAAGGCATTTGACTAAATATATCTTCTCATCTTGACTCGGCCCACAAGACATTGAGTAATAAAGAAATTCATAAGGACCCTCTGAAAGGCATGTATGGAATCACACTACAGTCTGTGGAAATATTTTTCTTGATCCACAGAGTATTGAGAAAATTAACCAACTTCAAGAGAAATAACCACTGTTTTTATCCAGTTTCTGGCACGAACCCTCCTAAAGTTCCTCAAAGAACACTTTTGAAACCTCTCTGAGAACCTCACTACAAATGTTTTGTAGCTTTTGTATTTGGTCATTAGTATTCAATACAATTTAAACAAAAGCATTCGTGGTACAGTGTTGTGTAAATGACAGCTGATATATGCCACATTGTTTGGGATGCTCAGGAAGCTGATGGATATAACACACAGTATATAAGAGGGTTTTTTAGATGGAGCAGTCAACCTGTGATTGGTCAGTTTGAAGTACTCTGCCAGGAGGAAGTTTTGGTCTTTTGAAGACACCATAAGTGCCATCAAAAACAATACAATGGTGAGCGGCCATTTCAAAATCATGTACCTTTTCCATTTGCGTAAGATATGTGTATGCTCCCCTTTCAGGTTCTCCTTGCCCCTCTCATGACTGAGGAGCCTCTCTTTTCCGCAGGGTGGATATGTAGTACAATAGGCTCACAGGTTTGAGGAAATTGGCTCAGAACAGTAGTCAAGGATTTCAAGTACGTTACTCCTTGAGAGCCAAACTTGAGTCTGCCTGAGGTCCTAGCAACAGTTGCTATCAGATTTCCTAGTCAATGATAGAATTACAGATTGTTCAAGTCTGTCCGATGACCTAGCAACAGGAGCTGGCAGAGTTCCTAGTCCATGTCTGAGTTCCTGATTGTGCAGAGTTGGCCTGAGGACCTAGCAAGAGTCACTGTCAGAGTTCCTGATCCTGCAGAGTCTGCCTAAGGACCTAGCAACAGTCCTGGTCAGAGGTCTTGATCACCTAAATTTTATAAGAGTAGAAAAAATGACCCTACATAATTTATTGGACAGTTATAGAATTTCAGTATTACACTTTGCTAAATATTTTTTTTCAAAAGTCATATGTAGAAAGTGAAAGTTTAAAAGTTATAAAAGTTAAAAGTTACACATGTGGGGTATCACACATTTTAGGGAAATATACAAATTGCATAAACTTGTATTTTAGGATTGTTTATTTAGTCAAATCATGTACTATCATTTGTGTTTTTCAAATTCCATTTATCTCATAAAATGTATATTAAAGTAGAATTTTGTGACACACATATATACAGGTATAATTATTATTTCATAAATCATAAAATCAATTAATTTTATTAACAAATTTTTAAAGAACGTAAAAGTTAGAATGAATGCCTTAAATTTGTTTTAATTCTCACAATGTATTCTTGATTGCCAGATAGTAATAACTATCATTGGCAATTAATTCAGAAACTACAATGAATTTTAAAAATTTATTTATTCAGTTCTTTGATATTGGAATTCCTACTTTATGCAAACACAAAAACTTATAATCAAATCAAAGTAAAGTACAGAATACTAATTTGCTATTCTAATCCAAATGAAATATTTCTTCTCAGTCTCAGGTGCCATTTCGTGTCTATTATATCCAGTTTCAAGCACCGAGGTCATCATGTGCTTGCATTTTGTTGAAAAGCATGGAAAATGCAGAAATATGTGTGCAATATTCTGTAAGTGTAATATCTAATTTTAGGTAGTTATGAACATGTTTATTGGCCTGCCTTTTTCATAAGAAAATATTTAACAGCTGTTTTCAAGAATCAGCATTCCCTGGCAGGAAGTCTCTCTTCATTTAAGTACAGAACCACAATTTGAGGTTCATAGAATCCCTAACTAAATTTTCGTACCATATTTCAGTCAGAAATGTCAATGAAGTGAGTGGCAAGCATCACATATAT